GATATATGGAGGGGATAATAATCAATGTAATGAAACAAGCTATATGAATGGTTGAATGTGAAGCTGATGATGTGCCCTATAAACTTTCACTCAATCCAAAATAAAAACATTTAATTAAAAAAAATAATAATAATAAACTAAGGACTCTGCAATATTAGCTCTTTTTCTCTAGATATAAACTTGTTGTTAAGTACCATGGAGTCGGTTCCAACTCATAGTGACCCTGTACAGGGTTTCTGAGGTTGTAAATCTTTACGGGAGCAGAAAGCTTCATCTTTCTCATGTGGAACAGCTGGTAGTTTTGAACTGCTGATCTTGAGATTAGCAGCCCAATTCGTAACAACTTCGCTACCAGAGCTCCTTAGATATAAACTGGTAGAGCCAAAACTAGAACCTTACTCTCAACTTGCAGGTCTAGATTCCCTTAAGGATAATAATGTTACAAATGAACTTTTAACCAGTTTGGGGCAGAGTATATATAAGAGCATAGCCAGTTCCTATTCCATTTCCTACTGCTGAAGAGTTATGTATGTCACCATGGTGGGGGGACAGACTGCATTGCATTTGAGTCTGTGTCTTTAGAGAGGGTCTGGAGATAATGAGATGGCAAAAATAACTCAGCGTCGTACTCTTCTCCCTCTCCCTCTTTTATTTTTGGCTTACTCTCACCCTCTCTACTTTCCCCTTTTTGTCTCCTTTCTTCCCTCCTCTTTCTCTTTTCACCCTCCTCTTTCCTTCCCTCCTCTCTCTCTCTCCTTTTTTTTTTTTTTTTACCTTTCAGAAAACCACAGCTTTTGGACCCTAAAAGGTCTGGATCGATCATACTGCTTTCTGAAAGGTAAAAATAAATAAATGGTGGGATGTGAAGGTTGACTTTGGTTTGGGGGTTTGGGGAGGGGGTCATATTTAACACATTTGTTTTTAAAACAACACACCCTGCAAAGCATGTTCCAATTTAGTAAAAGCATATGAGTGGTTTGATGTCGTATGCACAAATAAAGTTAAGTCTTTAACTTTGAAAGTGTCCAACAGTTGGAAGGAGTATCAGCAATAAAATCAGGTATTTTTTGTGGCGCTGTGGGCTAAATGCGTCAAACTGCAAAGTCGTTTGAACTGAAAGGTTGGTGGTTCAAGCTCACCAGCTGCTCCTTGGAAACCCTATACAGGGTCGCTATGGGTCGGAATCGACTCGACAGCACTTAACAACAGTCCTGAAGCGAATGGAAACTCCTTGGCCTCTAGCACTGCGGACAGACCCTTAGCTTAAACGTAGTCTGACTAGCAAGCTAGAGGCTCCTTGAGGTCTTACTGTGTCTCACAATTGTAATTGCGTAATCAACTTGTTTTTTTAGAACTTATTCATAATTTAAAGTTTTCTTTTTAAAATGGATTTCTATCATTGCTTTCTACTGGCAAGAAATTTTGGAGAAAATGTAGTTCTAATCTCCAGATATTTTATTGCTTAGTAAAGACATCAAAGACTTTGGGATATTATGCTTCTTCCAAAGTATATTATTAATTGAATTTTGTGAGCTTGACTACTAAGTGAAGGTTTAAGTTCTATCATTTTAAAAAATGTATTAGGAGAACAAGCAAAGACAGAGGGATACACCACTATCTCAAGGGAAAGTTTCTTGCTAGGACCAATCCACAACACATTGCTTTCATCTCTCCTAACAGTAAACTGCTGTTAATAAATTATGAGATACTCCTGAGTGTGAGAGTTACAGAGTGTTTGCTGGAAACCAATTTCTATGTGAAAGTAAGAGAACATAAAAATTTTAAACTTATTAGTAAATCTGTCATTTGAAATATGAGCTTTTTTCTTTTTTTTTTTTTTTTTTTTTTAGAAAGACAACAAAGTTGCTGCATAATCTCCAAACAAGTCTTTGAAACTACGGGAATTTCTAGCTCTACGTGGTCCTGAATATTGGTTTCAGTCTTGTGAAGAATGAAAGAAGTGAATTTGCTGTATATTTGTCACCAGCACTGGGTTTTGTTTTGTTTTTTTACTGCTTAATTTCAAAGATAACAGTGAAACTATGAGAGCCGGAACCCAAAAGGACTGCCTTGTTTTTCTGGGTCTCACAGGTTTTCCACCTTTGGCAGGGCACAGTCTTACCACTTTCCTATTGGTCTCTATTAGTGGAAAATATTTTAAGATTTTTTTTCCTGACAGGTTTCCACCTTACACAGGTTCCAGCTTTTGCAAGTTTTACTTTATATCGCAGTTACTTTGGGGGGGGTAAGAAGGCTCGTCTTAAAAATGAGCATTAAATATATTTGGAATAGCAGAAGATTAAGTGATTTTTTTATGTATAGTTAAACTAAAGCAGTACTTCAGTGGGACTTATAAGTATTTTTTATTACTGAGAGGATTTTTCTTATCACTAAATTGTATTTGGCAATTATTGCAAGTTGCCTGCGATTGGGGCCGTGATACTGTGTTTTGAGAAGGTGTGTATGTGTCTTTGTTTCTCTCTTTCTTTTTTTGGAAATCCTGTAATATCCCTTTTCAGATAGCTCAATTAATTAGGGTGCTGGATGGTAGAGAATTTTGTCAGTCAACTATGTACACACAGTAAATACTGTTTCTTAGGCAAAGGTAATTTTTTTATATAGTTGTAAAATTCCATTGTATTCCATTGCCAAAGAAACATTAAGAACTTTGTATAGCTGTATAAAAAGCAACTAATTTTTTTAAGAATAAACATTTTAAAGTCAGCAAACATACTGTGTCCTTGCAGAAGTTGATGTGCTGAGGAGAATTATGGGTGGGTCTTCTTTTTTTTTTTCTTTCATTTTCTTAGCTGTCCAGGTTTACAATTCTTTGATTTCTTTTTTAAAAAAAAACATAAATGAAGATTTAATACATTCTTCCATTATCTAAAAATGATAAATTATTTATGCTCATTTTAAGAACTGCATTTTGTAGCAAATGGCATATCACAGGATTTGTCCAAATAATAAGTATTTTCTGTATACAAATGTAAATAATCATAGATAAGAATGTACTTAACTGTATTTTCAGATAGTGAATCTTTTCTCACCCCCTCTAACCCTCATTTGGGGTGTTTGTTTTTTTCCTGGGGAGAGTGTTTGTTATTTTGTTGTTGTTGTTTTAAGAAAATAAAACTAGGCATTAATTAATTAACTTGGTCTCCTGATCTGGAGTTAAACATTTTGTCATGATCCCTTGATTCATTCCATTCAATTTCAAATGTGGAATGTTAGAAATTATATTTGGATAAACTGTAAGATATTGGAACACTGATCCTTGGGCTTGTGACCCACAGATGACTCTGTATAGAGTTCATTACTAAATATAAATTACTAGTAAATCTTTTTGATACCTAGGCTACAGTAGGGTAAAAAAATCTGGCCGTTTTTGTGTTTTTATTAAGGCCATGGACTAAAGGGATCCAAAGATTTATCTATTTTGACTTTTATTTTCTCCTTCTCAGTAGTGATAAAGATAAGGAAATTTGCACCAAAGGAAAATTGGAATATTTAAGGATGGTTAATATTTTTAATTTTAATTTTATATCTTTTGTATAGGTCTATGAGGAAATGTTTTGTAACTTGGTTCCATTATTAACATCTAGTATTTGGCAACCACAGTTTAGATAAGTATTGTTTAATACAGTTTGCTTGCATGTTAACAACAAAACCTTTTAGAGGACCCACAAATCATGATATTGAGCACATTTCTGAGGTTTTCTGAACATCAGAGCAAATGCTATGGCAGTACCTGTGTAAACTGTTTGAGATGTGTCCCAGGCCAGTTGCAAGAAGAAAAACTGTAAATACCAGTTTTACATGCTCCGAAAGTATGAATTCATGCCTTTTCCCACGCCCTCTGGGTCACTGATTGGGCTGTTTGGTGTCCCAGTAATAGCTGCAGCATGACATACCTGCAGTGCATCTTAGAATATTAAAGCAAGGTCTTTATTCTACAACAGAATAAAACTGTTCAATACAAAATGTTCGTCAAAGTTCTTTCTCTTTAAATAGCAGCAAAAGAAGCTTAATGAAAGGCACCTAGAACGTGCAAGAGTAAAACTATGACCATATTCTCTAAAATAACTTGATCTATTTATAGCTGGTATTTCTAAGATTTACTTCTTGATGTAGATGCTTAGGATAAACTGGAGTCCTGGTGTGGTACTGTAGGATAAGCACTGGACCACAAGATTGGCTTAAACTGTAAGGTCAGCGGTTGAAACTCATCAGCTGCTACTCAGAAACCCATACGGGCTTGCTATTAGTTGTAACTGTCTCAGCAGCACTTCACAGCAAAACAAAGGTAAGCTCGAAGCTCATTTCTTTGCCTTCTGAGTGCAGGAAACGGGGTCAAAATCATGACATGGGCCAAGCTCAGCACCTCAGAGCAGTGTGTCCTCTGTGGGCAGGCAGGTGCAAAAGAGGAGAGAAGAAATGCATCCACTAAAATGCATCTGTCAGGAGACATTTCTCCCTCTAAAATCAGGCTTGAACAGATCTACAGTGCCCCACAGTAATGAGAGGGGGCTTCAGAAAGTTCGTGGAAAAATGAAATTCAAAGACAATGAATTTTTTCCAATAACTTTTTGAAGTCCACTGGTACAGTCCAAAGTACTGTAATGTTGCCTCCTCTTTGAAAAATACTGACTGACGTTTCTCCATGTGAAAAGATAAGCAGAGATTTGACATTAACCCTGAAATTAAAAAAAAATATTTGCTACTTTAAAAACAAAACCCTGTTGAGTGTGTTCCAACTCAGTTTCATCCCTGGGTGTCCAGGCAGAGCTGCCCCATTGGGCTTTCGGTAGCTGAGCTTTTGGAAGCAGAGCTCCAGGCCTTTCATCCTAAGTGACTTGAGCCTCCAACTATTTTAGTTACCAGCCAATTATGAATGTTGCACCACCCAGGGACGCCATTTCCTAATTAAGATATTTCATTGTAAGTATAAAGGGAGCTTGCTTCCAGTAGCGCTATCAACATTTAAAAAACCCAGTACTGCAAGAGTGACCACACCATCCTAGTGTCTGTCAGTTGTTCCTAAATCTCTGATCAATCAACTGAGAAGCATTTTAAATGATAAGTTACCAGGTCTCATATCCAGAGGGTCATTTCAAAGGTCTGGCATGGGTGGCCTGGAAAGGCAGTTATGAAATCAGAGCTGACCATCTAGTTTGCTCATTTGAAGGACTTGGCAAAGATTATCTTGTCGTTTTCCCACCCTTCTATAACCAATATGCATAGGTTGTGACGGGAACGAGTAGGAAGAGAGGACTAAGTGTAAATCACTTCAGAACAGAAACTGGAAGTGGCTGCTCTGAGTACTGGTTCAGTCTCTTCCCAGCATTTCTCTCTTCATTTTGCATAGCTGTTTTCCCTGTCTGGAGCCCTGGTGAGTCTGGGATAAACATGGGGCTGCATAGGAGAAAGGTGAGGCTGTCTGCTCCTATCAAGATTTCTAGTCTGGGAGAGTTGGAGTCGGTTTGATGGCAGTGGGTTTTAGTTAACCTGTCACTAGCTTATCTGCCTGTAAGAAAAGCTGCATTTTCCTCTGGACCCTAGTTGTGTGCCGTTTAGTTGGTTCTGACTCAGTGACCCTATATGGGGTTGTCAAGGCTGTAAATCTTTATGGGAGCAGCAAGTGGGTTCAAACTGCTGATCGTGTGATTCACAATCCAATGATTATCCTACAGAGCCACAACACTCCTATTGATAACATATACTGAGAAGTAAATTCTACTCTTCCCAAGATGGAATACTTAGGCTCTATAATTTACTTTTGAGATCTAATTTACTTCTGAGTTTGGTGTGTTAAAAGACCCACCTTAGCCCCCTAGGCTAAGCTGGTTGAAACTATGAGGGTGGAGAAAGTGTCCAGGCCTAAGGTAATCAGAGTGTCTAGTGGAGCTCAGATGGCACTAACTTGTTTGGTTTACCTGTGATGACTTTTTTGAAAATGAGAAGTATTGATAGTCATAGTTAAAGAAGCAATGTAGCACCGTTAGTCTTGGAACCAGGGATACTGAAATGGAATATGCTTAAAAAAGGCTGCCTTGTCCTTTCCTAAGATAGACAAACAGCTTCCTGGAAGAGGTGCCCTCTTGGAAGAAATTGGTCAATTGAGAGGGAAGTAAGGGAGAGTGTATCTTTAAGCAGCAGAGGTTTGGTGATTTGCAGGTCCCAGGAATTACTGTGGGAGCAAACCCAGCCTTCTGAGGAGGAATGCAAAGACTCTTAGCCATTGTTGTGGTTAACATAAGCAAGCTTGTGGTTTTGAGACATTTCTGAGTGTGGCTCTGAGAGCATATAGTAGAACCACAAATCTTACGTAATTTGTGCTCTAAATGTGTAGGGCCAATGAATCAGTTAAAGTCCTGCTACTTTGATATTTAATGAATTTGGCTAGCTGATGAAAATGTGTTTAGGTTTAATGCAAACATTTGAAAATAGACCTGTATCTGACTTGTTTATAATGACTGTTGTATTCATAATGTAGTGATATATGTGTGGTGGTTGTGGTAAGTGCCATCGAGTTGATTCTGACCCATAGCAACCCTGTATAGGGTTTCTAAGGAGTAGCTGGTGAGCCTGAACCACTGACCTTGCAGTTCAAAGTGACTTTGCAAGCCAGTGCATTAATATATTATAAAAGGGTCAAAAAAGCAACTCTGAGAGGCCAAAGCCCGTTGGATATCAGTAGTCTAGTTCAAGTGCACAGAAACAACTGAGAGCAGACAGCAAGTAATTTTGCCTTTCCCTCTGGACTTGAACATCTGGAAGGAGAAGAGGAAAAAACAAAGAATGCCAGTCTGGAGTGGGTGCGTGAAACCTAGGCCCAACACGAGATTGTAATGAAGTGCAGTGGACTGGTTAG